ACCTTTTGCCGGAAGTTTGATGTAGTTTAATATTGTTCTACAAACAAAACTGTAAGTTTCATTTTCTAACTGAAGAAACCAGCTGTGTTTTAGTTGGTGTTTGCAGGAAGTTATTAAGGAAACTTAATATGAAAGTACTCAAGTATTTACTCTGGTCCAGAACAGTGTCTTGGACCAAATAACATCCAGTATCAGAGAACTGAATATCAATGACCTCAGAGTGACCAGATGATGTGATCCAGCCCTAATTAGAAAGTCGAAGATAATGATAAAGTCGGTTTTAGATTTGCAGAAAAACGTCACTCTTTCTCAGAGCGACACCCTTTGATTCCAGTCTCCATAGCTTTAATACCCTGTTATTTTCACCAATCATTCTCCGGTTCCTCTTTTCTCTCTTTTTTCTGTTTATTTTCCCTTTCCAATCATTCTCCGGTTCCTCTTTTCTCTGTTTATTTTCCCTTTCATGCACTCACCTTCTCTCTCTCTCTCTCTCTCTCTCTCTCTCTCTCCCCTGGTTGTACTTGCTATGCCGGCAGCGTAGCTAAAGGCTTGTCATTATGAGTTAGCATGACTCTCATCTGGACACTTTTAATCACGGCTCTATAGCTTCCTTCACTTTCTCAACTCTCATGAGTGTGTGTGTGTGTGTGTGTGTGTGTGTTCTTCACCGAGAGCCTCTTCAAATTCCCGTGCCTTGCCAAGGGTACTGAGCCCGGCAAACAAAGACCTAATCTGTGTGTCCGCAGGTTTTGTGTCCTTACTCTGTGGAGGTTTTGGCCAGCGTGTCACAGGAGCTGTAACTAACTCCAGAGAAGGCCTCCTTGCAGGGCAGAGTCCGCATTCCATCCATCCAGTCACTCATCGTCCCCATCGGTGGAACCTCCGAAGTGCTCCTGTCCAACAACAAGTTGGCCGGCCTGGAGAGACAGGAAGGAGGAAGTTCTTATAGAATTCAGAGAGGGACAAACTTTTACATTTATTGACTGGTTCAATTATTCCTCTGCTTGGATGAAAGGACAGTTTTTAAAAAAATAAATTTACACAGACTTTGACCGGAGGACCACATAAAATGAGAGGGTGGGCCGGAATTGGCCGGTGAGCCTCCATTTTGACACATGACACAAGTAGTAGATGAATATTGTACCTGCTGAGTCTGATTATTAATGTAACTGTGTACCTGCTGAGTCTGATTATTAATGTAATTTTTAACTGTATTGTAATATAAACATTTATAAAAGTAAAAAAAATCTGCATGTTTAATCCTTTTATTTAAAGAGAAAAAAAACATTTTTAGTAAAACTTTTTTTCTTATTTAATCATTTCCCTTATAGTTAATATACAAATTGGTAAATTACAAAATTGGATTAGATTGGATGATACGGTCTAATTTGAAAGCAATTAAATTGTTTGGGCTTCAGAGAGCTCAGTCAACAGCAGTGGGTGAAAAAAGAATGTGCCGGAAAAAACAAAACAAAACATCTTTCTAAAAAATGATTTTATTTGGTGAAATCTAATTATTTTTCTATGCAACAATTGCAGTCGCAGTGCTCAGACATGGGAAAAAAAAGTTTTCTTGTTGTTTTTGTCTTTTTTTTTAAGGTGATTTTGTAAGGACACACTGCACCCAACTCCACATTAGACAAAGGAACCTACAAATTAGGAAGGGAGTCTGGTAACCAAGGCTTCAAGACTGAGCAAAAATAAAGATAGTTCTCCTTAGGGAATGAAATAAATAAATAAATAAAAAAAACAACATAGCCAGCAACTTAGATTGTGTCTGACTGATTTGAGCCATCGTGCATTCATTTGTGCCATTTCTTTTTCTTTTTTGTTAAGAAAAGAGAATTATTCAAAATATTATATTATTTACTTGTTTAAATTATTTATTTAAATTTATTTAATTGTTTTATTTGTTATTGTTTTATTTGCAATACATTATTTACAATACTTTTTTTTTCATAATATTAAAAATATATACTGTATATACAAGTTTCCTTCAGGCATTAATGTCAAAAACACCAGGAAAAGGCAACTCCAGTGATACATGACCCTGAACAAAAGCAGAAGATAAAAACGGGGGAGGAGGGAGAGGGGAGGGGTGGGGGAGATGGTGCATTGGGTGTTGTTAAAATTATTGAGTCTTTTCCTGCAAGATCAGAGTCCTGTCAAAATGCCGGGGTCCCCAGAACCCCCTGGAGAGACAGCTTTGTGGGAGAAAGTAGGGAAATGAAGTCTAGACAGTGGGGATGGTTGTTACAGTTGAAGGGCAGATGAAGGAGGGAATAAATCTCCCCGTGAGGCAGAGCGACAAAAAGGACTATTTTTGACTGAATGATCATTTTACACACACACAAAATTATATATATATATATATATTTGGGACAAATTGTGTTGAGATAAAAACCCAAGGATAGCACATCTTTTATCTGTTGGGTCATCAATTAAAAATGCTCATTTAGCGTTAATCCCTGAGGAGACCAAATATTATTGGCTGACGTCGAATTAGAGGCTAATGCTAATACCAATAACTAGTAATGATTACTTGTTGATAATGTCCTTTAAAATGATTGACGTAGTAAAGTTTGTCTCCAAACTTCTCAAGTCCAAATTGCGGCAGAGCCATTAGCATATGCTAATAGCTAAGAAAGCTAATCAGAACTAACACAAGATGTCTCTGCTGGTTTGACTGTCGAAACAGTACTGAAGGAATCGCGATATTCAATAATGTCAACTAAATTAAAAAAAAAAAAAAAGTCTAGCATAGTTTTACAACTCAATTGCGGCGACTAAAAAATAAGCAACCGCCCAAAAACATCAACACCGTTAGCATAACGGCTAGAAAACTATTGAAGCAGATGTAGAGAATTTGTAATTCATCTTTAGCCGAAATTTTTAAAGAAGGAAAAAAGAATGTATGCTATTGCTAAAAATCAGTGGCAGTGTTAGCATGGAGGCTACATGGAGCATGGCTGTAGGAAGTTTATCGCCCACGAGGAGCAGATTATTATGGGTGATTGGTTAAAAATAGTCCATGTGGTTCATCTCTAGTTAATTATTTATGAACCCTCTCCTTCACTAGTTCTAATAACTGTTGTCTCTTCCTGTAACCTCACCCCTCTCCCCTCTCCCCTCACGTCTGAGGGAGACAAACTGCCCTGTTCTCCTACCATATCATTTTCGTTGTCACTGTTGTTGTCACAGTTCCAGAAACATGTTTCCCCGGCTCAGGAGATGGGACGATGGGAGAGAAAACAAAGAAACAGAAGGATGTGATGAAAGGGGGGAGGATGACGGGGGGGAGTAAAAGAAAACAAGACAACTGTCTGATGGCAGGGGGGCGAGGGAGGGGGGGGCGTTTTCAAACCCCCTGGTGGGCTTAACACGATAAAACACCG